TGACAGAAATGACAGGTTTTGCAATGATCGTAGGAAATTTTCCATATGTACAGGTGTCATTGGACCATCATCCCCTGCAGCTTTATGTGCCTTTATTTAAATTGGGGGGTATTTCCATGCCCGGCCTCCCCAGACCACCAACCCCTGAGGCCTCTGAATGGGGGAATGCTTCCAGCCTGGCTATGCATCTTACTGGCCTTGGTTACCTACTTTTGAGTGAGAACATTCAAAATGACTGAGCTTAAAAGGAATTTTACTCTCGAGGAAGTGGGGAGGGGTGGAGGGATGGGGTTGTTACATTGTGGGCCTTTAACAACTAAATCTTATTATATTATATATAATAATCTTATTTTATGATTATATACTATAATCTTATTATATTACTAGTATTCTGATTAACAGCAGGCTCTTCACACTGTTATCAGCGTCACCGTTTCCGTCTTGCTCCCCTCTTATTAGTGCTGTTGTTGTTAGATATTGTTGGGTCAGTCTGGACTCATAGAGACCCTGTGTACAGTAGAACAAAACACACGTGGTCCTGCACGATCCTCACAATTGGTTTTATGCTTGAGTCCATTGTTGTAGCCACTGTGTGAATCTATCTTACTGAGGGCCTTCCTCTTTTACGCTGCCCCTCCATTTTGCCACGAATAACGTCCTTCTCCAGGGACTGGTCTATCCTGATAGCATGTCCAAAGTACATGAGATGAAGTCTTGCCATCCTTGCCTCTAAGGAGCACTCTGGCTGTGCCTCTTCCAAGACAGGCCTGTTTGTTCTTTTGGCAGTCCATGGTACTTTCCATGTTCTTCACCAGCACCATGGTTCAGATGGATCGATTTTTCTGTGATCTTCCTTATTCAATATCACCTTTCACATTCATGTGAGATGATTGAAAATACCGTGGCTTGAGTTAGGCACACCTTAGTCTCGAAAGAAACATCTTGCTTGTCAACACCTGAAAGAGATCCTCTGTAGCAGATTTACTTAAGTGCGGTGGTTCTCAACCTTCCTCAGGCCGCGACCCTTTAATACAGTTCTTCATGGTGTGGTGACCCCAACCATGAAACTATTTTCACTGCTACTTCATAACTGTCATTTTGTTAGTTATGAATCGGGCGATCCCTGTGAAAGGGTCGTTCGACCCCCAAAGGGGTCTCGACCCACAGGTTGAGAACCACTGACAGTGCAATGTGTCCTTTGATCTCTTGACTGCTGCATCCATGAGCAGTGATTATAAATCCAAGCAAGACAAAATCCTTGACAACTTCAGTCTTTTCACCACTTATCATGATGTTACCCATCGGTCCAGCTGTGAGAGTTTTTGTTCTCTTTACAGTGAATTGAAATCCATATTGAAGGCTACAATCCTTGATCTTCATCAGCAAATACTTCAAGTCTCTCACTTTCAGCAAGCAGGTTGTTAATATAGATGAGGGAGTGCTTCCAAATGCTTCATCAGCTTGTTGAAATATTCCATCCATTCTTGGAGCCTTGTGCTGCAGTACTTACTCATTGGGGTATGATCCGAAAGGCCCAGGAGAGAGAGAGGGCTTTCTACTCTTGGGCTAATGCTTACAGAGAGGGCTTTCTACTCTTGTAAAGAATTACAATCTAATCGCTTCTCGGCCTTTTGGCTAAGATCAAGTGTAGTATCTGTTCTTATCAGTTTAATATCTGATACGTCCTCTATCCGAGGACAATATATTAAATGGATTTTTGGAGCAGGGAGATGGAATAGGAGCTTGCTCCGTCCACTCCATGTATCGACCTGGTATTGCAGTACTTCCAGGAACGGTGCACCCCCTCGGGGGACTTTTCACTTGTTTGCGAAGTCAGATGGCAACACACTTCTGAGATCTTTCCTCTTTGCTGCTACTTTTCCGTCCTGTCTCCTGCTTGGACGCAACAGTTGGTCACACGCCTGTGGTCCCCTGCAATTTCAAGGCCTGCTTCTTGTCCCACCCGGCGCCCTGGAAAAAAAAAAAAAGAATTACAATCTCAGAAACCCACAGGGGGCTCTTTTACCCTGCTTTATTGGGTCACTCTGCATTGGCATTGAATTGATGGCAGTGAGCTTTTAAAAAAATTTTTGTGTTTTGGCTAATGCTTACAGTGCAGCTTGACCTTTTCTTTCAATACCATTGGTTCTTGCTCATATGCTACCTCTTGAAATGGTGGAATGCCAGCTCGTTCTTTTGATGCATTCTTTCCATCTTCTTTTCTTTTTCTTCTATCTTCTATTGATGCTTCCTGCATCTTTCAATATTTTGCTCATAGACTCTCTCAATATTGTAACTCAAGTCTTGAATTTTTCCCCTTTAGTTCCTTCAGTTGAAGAAATCCTGAACATGTTCTTCCTTTTTGGTTTTCGAATGCTGCACATTTCATTATACTATCTTATCTTCTCAAGCTGCCCTTTGAAATTGTCTGTTCGGCTCTTTGACATCATCATTTCTGACATTTGCCTGATCTACTCCACTATTAAGAAGACGTTTTAGAGTCTTTTCTGACATCTACTTTCATTCTTTTCGTTCTTTCCTGTCTTTTCAGCAAACTTTTGCTTTCTTTGTGTATAATGTCCTTATTGTCATTCCACAGCCCATCAGGTCTTCTGTCATTAATGTTCAATGTGTCAAATCTGTTATTGCGATAGTCTCAAAATTTAGGTGGGATAGACTCAGGTCATATTTTAGCTCTCATGAACTTGTTTTAATTTTTTTCAGCTTCAACCTGAACTTACATATGAGCAATTAATGATCTATTCCAGAGTCACCGCTGCCTGGCTTGGTTTTAGCTGCTGATATTGAGCGTCATTATCGTCTCTTCCCACAGATGTAGTCAATTTGATTTCTGTGTGTTCCATCTGCAGACATCCATGTGCACAGTTGCCTTTTGTGTTGAAAACGGGTATTTATGATGAAGAAGTCTTTGGTCTTGCAAAGTTCAATCCGCCATCTCCAGCTCTGTTTCTATTACCAATTTTTCCAGCTATTGTTCCTGCCTCTTTGTTTCCAACTTTGCATTCTAATCACCAATAATTATCAATGAATCTTGATTTCATGTTTAATCAATTTCTGACTGAAGAAATTAGTAGACATGTCATTTCATTTACATAAAGACACTGTAATAGTCTAGGTACTTTGGAGAAACAAATCCACAGCAACTCATGTATAAGAGAGTTTTATGTAAAGAAAAGGTGCATCACGA